CTAACCAGTCTCTTGTGTTGGGTCTTCTGCTTCTGACTCAGATAATAGGAGGAAGGCAGTGCTTCAGTGACATCACGTCATTTGAATATTTCAAGGTAGTACTAACAGTAATGGATGTGCTGCCTTAAGACCCCTGTTGATACTTGCCAATTCCAATCCATCCCAATTTAAGTTTTTAGGAATATTTGTAAAACTCCCCAACCCACCAAAAATAGGCTGGTTTTGGGGGGAGGAGGGAGGAAGTAAGGAAGAATTCCAGGTATGGCTTTTTCACCATTCTCCTCTCACTCGTTTTTACAATAGGTATTGGAGCATTATCATGATAAGGAGCCTCTGTGGCGCGGTGGTTAGAGTGCAGTACTGCAAGCTACTTCTGCTGACTGCCGGCTGCCTACAATTTGGCAGTTGAAATCCCACCAGGCTCAAGGTTGATTCAGCCTTCCATCCTTCCGAGGTGGGTGAAATGAGGACCCAAATTGTTGGGGGCAATAGGCTGACTCTGTAAACCACTTGAGAGAGGGTAGTAAAGCACTATAAAGCGGTATATAAGTCTGAGTGCTATTGCTATTAATTTATTACACTGATGTTAGTGTGTTACCTGACAAAAGGAAAGCAGTGTCCTCAACAATATTGCAATCTCCCAAAACATGGTACCTCAGCTTCAATTACAGATGCAAGAATCAGAAAGCAGAAGTCTCCTTCAGAAGAAAGAGGAAACAGCGTGAAAATAGTCTTTCATAACCTTCTTTTGTCTTGGAGCTCTGGTTCACCTGCTATAGCAGCAATTCGCATTTAGTTATATCTGGAGCTAGTCAACAGATAGAGACAAAAAGAGCAGCAAAATAAATGTATACTGCTTGTAAGTCAGAGAGGAAAAACAGCAAAGTTTCCACTCGGCACCAGAACTTACAACCACAACTGAGTCCAACATCTCTGTTGTTCAGCGAGACATTTGTTAAGTGAATTTTGCCCCGTTTGACGACCTTTAAATCAAAGGCTGTCATAAATGTGAACCGGCTGCCAAATGTGCAGATATTTTGATCAGATGAGCTCAGGGATACTACAACGGTTATAAGTGTGAAAAATGGTCATACGTCGCTTTTTCTTCAATGTCGCTGCAAACTTTGGGTGGTCACTAAACAAACTGTTGTAAGTCAAGAACTATCTGCAGTAGGTAAGATAGGGAGGGGGTCTTTCTCTTCTTTCTCTTCCTCTGTTTTGAATTCTAGTGATGACTCCTGACGGTTATCTAGATTAGTCCCCACAATTTATTATTTATTTGATTTGTCAATCGCTTACAAGATGATATAAGTATCAATGTAAGAATACAGGAAATAGGTACGAATAAATGGAGATAACAGGACAGGGACGGTAGGCATGATGGTGCACTTATGCACGCCCCTTACAGACCTCTTACGAATGGGGTGAGGTCAATAGTGGTTAGTTTGAGGTTAAAGGAGTGGGGATTAGAGGATGTAACAGGTAGTACATTCCAGGCATTGACCGCTCTGTTGCTGAAGTCGTACTTTCTGCAATCGAGTTTGAAGCGGTTTACACTGAGTTTGTATCTGTTGTGTGCTCTTGTATTGTTGTGGTTGAAGCTGAAGTACTTATTGACTGGTAGGACATTGTAGCAGATAATTTTGTGTGCTACACTTAAGTCTATGACAAGGTTTTTGTAAGTGGTTTGTCTCACTTCTCCAGAAACGAGACATCTTATTTCATGCTTGAAACTCCACAAAAGCTACAATTTTATGGGAAAGTTGTTTTTCTATATCTACCCTTCTTCATCTGGCTCTTATTCTTGTCAAACTTGTTCTGGTCTCCGTGTCAATTCACATTTCTTCCAGCCAGCTGCTGCAAATATGGACTGGGATACCAGCCAAGAGAGCTGCTCCCCAGCCTATGGTTTGTTTCATTATGTTAGCTATATTTTGTACCCAGAGACATGGCTCAGCATGCTTACTGCCTCACCTCCTTCTAGAAGCCTTCAGAGCAAACTTCGTTAAAAATTTAGCCTTGGAAAAGTGGAAAAAAGTCCAATAGAAGAAGTGATTAAGAGAATGATGGAATGTGCAGAAACGAATAAATTGACATTAGCAATTAGCAAGAAGATAAAGAATATTAAAAAAATCTGGGATCTATTTTATCAATGGTTAGATAAGAAAACAGAGAAGTAAAATGTGTTCTAAAAAGTAATGGTATAATATGCAAGATATATAATGTAATGATATTATATAATTGAATGAAATGAATTGGATGTTCTCAGATTTATTAAAATTGAGATTTGCTCAATAAGAATTATGTGAATTTCTAATTGAGTCTAATGATATAATAATAATACACTATAATACAATATAAAATGTATAGTTGACTTATGTAATATGAATGTATGTTTGGAAGGGTACAGACAGTTGATATTATGACATTACACAAAAGAAATGTACCAACTGCCAGGCTGTATTTTGGAAGGTGGCTTTGTGTTGATGTTTCATGTCTGTGTTTGTTAGTGTTTGTCTTAAAAAAAAAAACTTTTATAAAAAAAAATTAGCCTTGAACCCTATTAGCTAATTTCCCCCAGAGTTCATCAGAGAATGCGCAGACGTTGGACTCAATTAGGAATTTCAATTCTTAACGGTAAAACAAAAGATCTAGGGTTGGTTTTTTTTGCATGGCTTTAACCTGATGGGAGGCCTTTCTTCCCCATCCAAACAATAAGTAGCAGTAATCACAGGATTCTACCTCTGGGCATGAAAGTTATTACTTACCTGTGGAGTTTGGATTCTACCCACAATTAAATGTAGATATAATTGCTCCCCTTGCCTTGATAATAAAGGGCAATTATTTATGCTCACATGCTGTCAGATGTTGATCATAAATGGAGATAATATAATAAGCAGTGCAACCAAATGGGTTAGAATACTGAATAATTTGGGTTGAGCAAACTTCTCTCAGAAACTTAGGCCTGGGAAGGCCTACAATGTGTCATTTTTTAAAAAAGAAATCCTATTGGTTACAGGTAGGCCACAATTGAGCCCACCATTTCTGTTGCTAAGTGAGACATTTTGTTAAGTGAGTTTTCCTCCATTTTACGACCTTTCTCGCCACAGCTGTTAAGAGAACCACTGCAGTTGTTAAGTTAGTAACACAGTTGTTAAGTGAATCTGGCTTCCCCATTGACTTTGCTTGTTAGAAGTTGTTGATCACATGACTCTGGGACACCACAGCTGTCATAGATATATGAGTCAGTTGCCAAGCATCTGAATTTTGATGACATGTCCATAGGGATGCTGCAACAGTTGTAAGTGTGAAAAACGGTCATAAATTATTTTTTTCAGTGCCAATGTAACTTCGAATAGTCACTTAATAAACCAAGGAATACCTGTACTATATGACTATATTAAATAGAATATAATCCTTGGGACTTCTTTAATATGTACCAAAAAATAATGGCATGACAGTAAAAAAAAAAGACTGAGATGAATTTCCTCTGTACAGTCTTGAAGGATTTCCAATGTACCAAACTATCGTTGTTTTATAACAGAAAGTTCTTGTAATATTCTCAGATGCACTTTGTTTCCATGAAAACAAGTGAAAAGTTACAAGGAATCAGTATATTATAAAAGCTATCAGGAATCAGGAATCATTTCTAAATAAGGAGGACAGGAGTGAATTACAAACATGTTTTAAATGCATGATATCTGAATTCAGCCTAAACCTGTCATAAGCCATCTCTGCCAGCACGTGAGCTGTCTCCCCAGCTCAGTTGCATTGAGCATGCGCCTCCCGCTAGTCAACTGATTGTCAGGTATCTGCCGTGCATACGCAGGGCGCATGAAGGAGCTGCGCGTGCATGCACAGGGGGAGCAAGGGGGCATGCGTGCGCAGGGGTCATGCGGGGCGTGCACGCATGTACAAGGGGTGGGGGCCATGCGCAGGGGAGTGTGTGCATGCGCAAGGGCACGGGGGTCACACATGCATTGCACGCACACACTTTCAGCCCGCGACGACGAAAAGGTTAGCCATCACGGGCCTAAACTTTTGCACTGGGATGAGACACTAAATTTGCTCCAACCCGCGGAACACGCAGGTAACCAGGCCTTGTCTCCAGGGCAAGTCCTCCCAGGCCATCTTCAAACTATAGTTAGCTCTCGACTTACGACCGCAATTGAGCCCAAAATGTTGTTGTTGTTCAGTGAGTCATTGGTGAAGTTTTTACCCCGTTTTATACGACCTTCCTTGCCCCATTTAAGTGAATCGCTGCACTTGACAGAAGTTAGTAACACAGTTTGCATGGTGGAATCTGGCCTCCCTATTATTGATTTGGCTTGTTCGACTATGCAAAAGGGGGATCCCATACAACCTCAGGACTCAGCAACCGGTCCTAAGTACAAACCAGTTGTACCAAGCATCTTAGGGATGCTCACAAAGGTGAAGCCGCTTTTATTCAGGGCCGCTGCAACTTTGAACGGTCACTAAAGGAACTGCCGTAAACCGAGGACCCCTCCTGGGAAACAAGGCCTGCAATAAACCTCCAAGCGATTCCCCCACCGCCTCTGAGAGGGAAAAAGGGGCCTATTTTGACGGCCGCGGCCGGTTCTTTCAGAGGGGCAAAGACCCTTCCCCACACACACTCCCCCCCCCAAAAAAAGCCCGGGGCAAACCGCTCTCGCCGACCCCAACCGGCTCCCCCGAGCCCCCCGCCACGATCAACCCGAGGACGGCGCGCCTTCCCAGCCACGGAGGGCGCCCTCCTCGAGGCGGAGGTTTCCAGGGAGAAAACGCTCCACCTCCCGACGCCGATTGTCCGTCCGACGGCCGGCCTCCGTCCCCCCGCCGGGGGCGTTCAGCCCAGGCCCGCGGCCGGATCTACGTGTCGGTTCCCTCCGCCGCGCGGGGCCGCAGCTGAGGCGGGCCCGGCTTCGCCAAACCGACGAGGCGGAGGCGGGTGAGGCGAGGCTGCGCTTCCCCGCCCGGCCGTGTAGGGGGGGCCCGTCGGCCTCGGGAAGCGGGCGGCCTCGGCCTCTTGAGGAGCGGCAGACCGTCGCCGCCTGACGAGAGGCCGGCGGCGGCGCCGCCATGGAGGACATCAACTCCAACGTGAACGCCGACGCGGAGGTGCGGAAGCTGCAGGAGCTGGTGAAGAAGCTGGAGAAGCAGAACGAGCAGCTCCGCATCCGCAGCGCGGCCGGGGCGCCCGGCGGCAGCAGCCCCAAGCGGCTACTCAGCGGCGGCGGCGGCGGAGGGTCGGGCGCCTGCACGCCTCCGCCGCCGCCTCCGCTGCTCTTCCCGCCTCCCGCCGCCCAGCTCTCGCCGTCCTCCTCCTCCTCGCCGTCGCCCCTGGGGCTGGAGAGCCGCGGCCTCAACGCCAAGGCCGGGCCGCGGCGGCCACCCCCGAACGACGACCGGGGCGCGGAGGCGGCGCGGGGCCCCGCCGAGAAGAGCGGCCTGCTGGACGAGGTGGAGCCGCTGAGGCCCGACGAGCTGGAGCGGCTGGCCGGCTGCGAAGAGGACGAGACGGGCTGGTGAGGGGGACAGAGCGGGGAAGGGTGGCTTGGGCCGACGTGGCTGGGGCGTCGCGTTCCGGGGAGGGAGGCCACACCTGAACCGGGAAGAAAGGGAAGGGAATGAATAGAGGGAGGAAGGAAGGAAGGAATAGAAGAAGGAAGGACATGGATAGAAGGAAAGGAATAGAGGATGGGAGGGAAGGAAGGAAGGAAAGAAAGAAAGAAAGACATGGGTAGAAAGGAGATGAATAGATGAAGGAAGGAAGGTGGATAGAAGGAAGGAGATGAATACATGAAGGAAGGAAGGAATGTATAAAAGGAAG